AATACATGTGGTTGTGGACTGGGTATTTTGCTTGAAGTCATACTGGAAATTAAATTTCCACCCCCCTACTTTTTGTCATTAGTTAAAAGACTGTTGTAGAAGGTGCAAACATATTTATGGCAAAGACCCTTCAGGGCTTATAATGTGGCCAGGAAGGTTTTCTTAAATTCAACCCCATGTTTCTTTGAATCCCTGTTTTGAGTGGTGCTTATGTGGTGGCCTTAATCCTGCTTGCAACCTGGATGAGCTCAGCAGCATGTGGCAGTGAAAATGGCAGCTGCTTATTCTATGAGATGACTGTGTTGTTTTTCTCCATTTCATGTGATTTCCAAAGAACTTTTAATGTCTAGGTACATCTGTGTCAAAGAGAAAATGAGCTGCTTGTCTCTTTTCTCTTGCTTCCAGTGGAAGCTTTAGGGAAACTTTAGGTTTTCACTCTCTTTCTTATGTGGCTAAACATTTTCTTTAAGGCTATCAGCGAGTTTCAGCATTAGAAAGGAGAAGATTTTTGGCTTCTGGAATTAAGCCGAAAAGTGTGGCCAGAATTCAAAGCACCCCCTGATGTGAGTGTTTTGTTAACACTAATAAGAGATTCAATACGTTACAAAAAGCTTCAGATGATGGAAGTTTAATATTTCAGCAGTCTGTATGCAGCTGCTGTTCTGAACCTCAAGAAGCCTCCTCCAGCTCGCTATATTCAAAATCTATTGATCTAAATTTTTATTTTAAGGCGCTGGAGCCCAGATGTGTATAATTGCTTCTTATTGTTCCCATCTGTAGTGTGTGGCTGTGAACTCGCAGCAATAATGTGGCTGTGTGTTTGCAGTCTCTTGCTGTCCTTTTTCTGTCCATCACTTTCTGTGTGCTGCTTTCAACAGACTGAAAGCAATTGTCCCACAAAGGGGGAAAAGAATTTGAACCCAGGCCCATCTTCTGAAACCTCTCCCCATATTTAGATAGGATTCTCTTTGATTCCCTGCTCATCTGCTGTAAGAGTTTTGCTGGAGAAAGACAGTGTTTGTGTGTCCCAGTGTGAAACACAAACAATTATTTTTTTTCCATGTCACCATTACTGTTTTTTGGAGAGGCTTCTGTTGGCCTTGGAAGCTGTGTAGCAGCAGGATGAAGGCAGCCTTTTGCTCCTGCTTGCACACCATACTGTCATACACGCCAGGAACAGCTTTTATAACTAGGGTTACTACCCAGGGATGTTTTAAGGGCTGGAATTTAAATACTGGCATGCCAAATTTCACAAAGGGACATGAGAAACCTGGTTTTGAGGACGTTCACAGTTTACAACCAACCACATGTTCTCGACTTCCTCAAAGTGGCCAACTCTTACATCTTCTACTTTGCAGAGCCCCGGGTGTATAAATGCTGTTGCCAAGGCAGACAGCCTGCTGCTTCGCCTGGGGCTGCTGCTGGTCTCTGAGGTGCTGGGGCAAGCTGGGGAGCTGACCCAAGCCTGGCTCTTCAGAAAGCAACTGCACTAAAAGTGAGTTCAGCACTGCCTCTGGGCATGACAGCAGCCCCCTGCAGGGTCTCCATACTCATTCTACTCTTCAGCCTCAGTTCCTACCCATGAAAGGGCTGAACCTACACTTTCTTTTCTCTCCCTGTTTCTCTCCCCGCTTTTGTTTTGTCAAACGTGCTGAGGAACATCTCTGTGCTAGGATGGATGAGTGTCATCTGCCTGGCAGAGAGGGTCTGCATGTAAGCAAGGGCCCGCCAGCGCTGCTGCAATAAACCCGGGGTGGCTGCATCTGCAGACACAACAGCTCCATGTCCCTGGTTACCCCCTGTGCACCTCCAGCATTTCCCATCCTCCTCTCCTTGTGGTGCTGCAAGGGCACTGGGACTCTGCATTCCGAGAGAAGTATCTGAGGAGGGAAAACACGGCCCTTACAGGAGCAAACATGCTAATACCAACTGCGGTCTGGAGGCAGAGGGCAACTTACAAAATGTATTGCTTCCCCTTGACTTTTCATGAACTGATAATGGGTGGCTGCTAAAACCCAGACCTCTTGCAAGTAACTGCCCCGGGCTCCAAGGAAACTGTTAGGATGGATCCCAGCAGAAATTTTTATAAGGAAGAGCATGCCCAGGGTACGATATTGTTTTCATCTCTCTTGGTCCCCTCTCGCCTCTGGCTGAGCTATACCATCCTGGCAATTACGGACTGCTCTAGGGAAAAGTAATTCCAGGACTGCAGGGATGTATTGATAATGTATTCCCCCTGCTGTTATGTCACTGTCAGGTATGGGGAGGAAGCTGAATGAGACCGGTGTCGTTCATTGGTGCCAAGTAATCACAGCTCAATAGGCAACTAAATAAATAGTGGAGCAGAGCCTCATGGACAATCCCTCCAAAGCAAACTGACAGGGTGGAAAAGATCCTTAAAGTTGCTGTAAAAGTCACCATGTCCTTGCTATCTCAACAGCATTCCCAATGACTTCACACCAATGTCTGGGATGTCCTCTCCCGGTCCTGACAATGGGTCACCACGTGTTCCAACGGTGCAGGAGAAAGTGGCTCTGTGTGTTCAGCAGACCCAGAACTTTACTGTGGTGGCTTCTCAGAGGAGGAAAGAAGTTGGGGCTGTAGGGTGCCACGGCATGGTGGGAAGCAGGAGAATGAAGGGAAGGTCAGGTCATTCTGAGTGCTGTAGGCTGAACAGCCTGAGCTGGGCTGCCAGAGAGGTGTTCAGGACGAGCAACTGCCTTGTACAACAAGGGAGAAATGGGAAGACCTTGGGATGTGCTGAAACACTAAATAGATATGGTGGTGGATTTTCTGAAGTATATGGGAAGGGGGTTAGGATGTCCCTTTTTCTCCACATTTCCGTAGTAAGGCAGGTTTCTCCTCACGAGCCTGCTTCTGGAGAGGGCACGGGTAAAACCTGTATCTGACAGCAACAGGAGCAGAATTCAGCTCTCTTGCACGGATACGTGAGTGAGAAAGAATAGCAGCCCATCCAGCCCTTCTCCCTACAAGAACAGACACTTTTCTGGCTGTATATTTTATAGTGCTTCATCTGGCCAGGTTTTGAAAGCCCTAGGCTGTATCCAAGCAGTCAGGAATAAAGAGCTTCAGCTCCCTCCCCTTTCTGGACCGACATACCCCCTTCCCTACTGTGCTGGCTGGAGCATCGCAGGGCAGATTGTGGATAAATAATGGGTTGGAGGAAGTAACAGAGAGGAGGGGCACTCCGCAACTTTCCAATGTAAATTACATGGAAATTAGGCTTCTGTGAGGCCAAAGGCCCCTCCGGAATAGGGCCTTTAGTTAACATAACACTTGTGCTAAATGAAGCGGTTGACACAGCTTTCAGGCTGTAGTGCCGCTGTTAATTTACCGTGTGAAAGGGCTGAACCTCCAGTCGAGCTCTGCGGGGAGAGACTTGCCCTGGCGGGGACCTGGGGCTCCTTCTCTCCCGAGAGCAACTACATCATTCCACTGCTGGGTCGGTAATATTTATGGGGGCAATCCTGTTACCTGAAACATTTGCAGTGCTTTTAAAAACTTGGTAGGTGAGCCCTACCTAGCCAGCTTGCTGGTTGGGGTGAGGTGGTCTGGGTAAGAGCTGAGCTTTCTGGGGTCTTGGCGGAGGAAAGCCATAGAGTGTGCTGAAAGATGACTTTCCCTGGATGCCGGTGTTCTCCTACCCCATGCCTGTAGTGGGGTGATTAGCTGGGGCTCCTCCTTCCCCATCCCTTGTTCCCCTTTAGTATCCTGCTGCTCCCAGTGCAAAAGTAGCTAGAGCAAAAAAGCTCCTCTTCTCCCCATTTGCTCTCGTCTCCACCTGAAGCAAACTCCCAGCACCTAATGGAGAAGTAGATGCAGGTGCAGACAAGGTCATATGGGTCCCAAAGGCATTGCCTGTTTGTAACAAGGCCATGCCCCTGATGGCTTGTGCCTGGGGCTATTTTATGACTATTTTCCTATGAAGAGAGTTGCTGCCTAGGGGGAGGGTGAGGCTGGATGGACCAGTCTCTGTCATGGATACAGATGCGCGTGCTCCGATGATGGAGATGGTGTTAGCCTGCAATTTTGGGTTTTTTTGCAGTCAGATGTGAGCTTGTTTGCCTGTTATCCCTGAACTGACAGGAAGTTTTGGGGCCACCTCAGCGGTTGCAGAAAGAAGTCTCTCTCTTTCACCAACCCTATGTTCTAGCCACAAGGGTATGGAGCTGGCTCACCTTTGTTGTAAAAAAGTGAATTGAATCTACCCTTAGTGCCCTGAGTGGGCCCCGAAGTGAAGATCAAGCTGTCAAATGTGTGAATTCACACCTGCAGCCTCCTGTTGTCACGCAGACTCAGGCAGAGGGCCAGCAGAGGGCTTGGGGCAGCCCCGAGACTGTAGCAGCTGTAGCTGTCCTCCAGGCTGCAGAAGGTGCTAGCCGTGACTCCAAGGGGGAGGTTTTCTGGGGAGCTTTCCCCAAAAAAGAGGTAGCGCAGGACTGATTTGCCTGCACGTGTTCAGCCCCACAACCTCACTGCACTTGTCATCAGAGCAGAAAGGGATCTCCTGCTTAGGAATACAATAAATACACCGGGCTGTTCCTCGGTACTGAGGCACCTTAAAGGTGGCTTTTGAATGAGCGCTGCATCCCTCGCTACGGAAACATTTACAAACTCTGAGCTGACAAAGTAAAATTTAAAAAATCCCCCACCCACCCTCCTGAAGAAAAAATATGACAAATATTAGAATCTTGCCACGAGCAGCTTCCATCCTTTCCTGCAAAGTGCAGCAGCCCTAGCCGGATTCCCTCCGAGGCACGGCCTCAGCTCCCACCCTGTGCCAGCCCCGCGAAAGGGCAGAGGGCCTGTGGTGAGAAGAGAAAAGGCAGGATAGAGAGAATCTCCTGGGAGATGCAAAACAAGCTCCCTGGATTGCTGGGACTAGTGGTGACACGCGCCAGACAAAGGACCTGCTACTCTATAAAGGAGGCAGCCAGGGCCGGCGCTGGGCTGACTGCGGCGAGAGCGAGCGCTGCGGCCAGGCACTGACAGAGCAGGCGGCAGAGAAAAACACAAATCTGGTTCTGCTGCCCGTCCGCCCGCTGACCCGTGTTTCACCAAGCACCTGTGACCAGAAAAGTAAGTGACAACCACCTCTTCTCTATACAGCCTTGCCTCCCCTCTTTGGGGCTTACCTTGCGACTTCCGTGAGAATGCCAAAGTTTACTCTCGCAGCAGGGAATGTCCTTAAAAGAAGGAATTTCTGCAAAAAAAAAAAGAAATTTCTGCTGGATTTTTATTTCTCATCATAGCACCTCTGGACGTTCTCAGCAAAAAAATTGAGTAAGGGACCTGATCTGACAAACAGAATTGCTACAGAAACAGCCAATTAAAGGTATTTCTGTGCCTTGGCTTTTCAAATTCTTAGTATCCACAGGGACTCAGTAAGTCAGACCTCACATCAAGAGAAATTATTAATTGGTTATACTACTTCTGAAAGAAATGTTGATGCTTAGATGTGAAGCAAGCTAAGGTGATTTTAAAATCACTGTTCCTACTATTCCTAGATTTTCTTACTTAATAAATGTATAATTACACACTAAGCAAACTCATTTACACCACTGAAAGGTGTCATAAATTAGAGTTATTGCACTAATGCAACATGATTGCACACAGCATCACAGGCTTTCTGAGTTTAGAACTAAAACTGAACAGAATTCTCCGATGGTGTTTGATACTTAAATTATTTTCAACAGCACAGATAATCATGCATTTGTTAGACTTTACTGAATGCTTATGCACTAGACTGTGGAAATCCTATGACTGTGTCAACAGGTAAAGATGTAAAGAAAGAGTTTTAAATTCCATTCCTCAAAAAATTTTAAAATATCCCCACTGCCTTATTGGTCGTCTATCTTGCAGCTGGTGCATACGTAAAATACATAGGCATCTGAATTTTTCTCGGTTCAATAGTTCACTTAAGAGGAGAAGCATAGCAATGTTACTAATTTCAGTTCTGCCAGCAAATAGTAATAATTCTTAGATTTGAAAAAAAATTTGAAACTGCTGATCTAGAACATGTTTACATCTCCAGGGCTACCCTATTGCATAAAGCTGTATTTGCCTGAGAAACTTATGAAACAATAAGCCAAGCGTTTTTCTGAAGTAGCACTCTCTTCCTCATTTCCATATAACAGTATAGGACAATGTCTGATTTTCAGAATGAAATTTCCACCATGAGTTTCTATATCATTTAACAAAAAAAATAACTAAAATAAATGCACTTGTTTACATAAATCGTTGAAGTAGTTGTGATGTGAGCAGCTGATCCAAGAAACGGAGTGCTCACAGAGTCAGCGTGCCAGGTGAGAAAGGGGCTTGGGGACTAAATGCAGGTGCTCGTGAGAGTGTGGTTGAGGCAGGGGTGATCTTCATGCTGATCTTTCAATCAGGCATAGCACCCCAGAGGTTACTGGGACGACACTTAGGGGAAAACAGGATTGTGGTCCATGTCTGGTAGTGGTTTGTATGACACTTTTGTTAGTCAGGATTTGCTGTGGTGGTTACATTTCTCAGTGCTTATGGTGACCTCTAGTCCTATGCACAGCAGAGTTAATTCCTGGGGTGATGCCAGGTGGTTAGTAGACCGGTTTTAGCTTGTGTCTGGTAGGGAGACAGGGCACTGCGTGCTGGTGTCAGGATGCTGCCAAACTTTCACTCTTGCTTTCGCTGAAGTCAGAGAGATTTGCTCTCCACCTCAGAGCTGACACGGATAAAATGCAAAAGAAAATACAGTCTGGGGGCCATATCCAAAAATAATACAAGCTCTACCATCCCCCTGATGCAAATGTCCCTCACAGCACTGGATTTTCCCTTCTCTGCTCCGAACAGCTCCTGTGACAAGGTGAGCTACTGCAGACTGGTCTCTGCTGGGTAGTGAGACGTGCAGCATCTGATCCTCCCTCCCTCCTTCTTTACACAACAGACCTTCAGTAAGGAGGATGAGGACTTCCCTAAATAGGCAGGCAAGGCAAGGAAGTTAAAGCAAATGGAGATGTTTTTGCTATCAGCAGCTCCCTTACTGCCTCACAGCAGCAGGTGCAGAGAGAGGCAGGAATATGTGCCCTTACGGGGTGGGAGAAAATATCTGTGTGGAACGGGGTTTTGCACGCAGAGTCTGGTAAAAAATGAATCCCTGAAGAACTCACGGGAGACCACCAAGCTGCGTTTCTTCTCTGTGTTCACCCCACAGCACAGGGATAGTGCCTGTATGTAATATCGGGGAAGGTAATTTGACAGAGACTGTTTTTTAAAGGAAACGCACTGGAGCTGTAGTTCAGACTGACACAAGAGTGCCTTACTGGAGATGGGACCAGGAGGACAAAGAAGCACTGTTTCAAGAAAGACTCTCAGATCTTCTTGAACAGAAAATAACTCTAAATAACTTTATTTAGGGAATAAAGGCTAGACCTCCTGGCTGAGCGTTCATTTCTCAGCTTTGCAAGCTGTCATGTCCATGCCAAACACTAGAACCCCATTTAGCAAAATCTGTTGCAGCCCATGAGTGGGTTCTTTGTTTTGCACAGAGCTGTGGGTAATTCAGCTTTACTGCAAACAAACATAAAGAACATTGACAGGAGGGGAGCCATAGAAAATAAAACCACCAAAACTACTCCCATGTGCAGAGGGAGTTTCCTCGAGTAAATCTCTTCGTCGCTGCTGGTGAGCCCTTAACTCCACATTTTGTTCTCTCCCAAACGCCTGCTGGGTGGCAGCCCATTGCTTTACAAACATACCTTTCCTGAGGCAGCCTTAGGGGACATGATGCCAGGGTAACCAGGTTATGAAGGCTTCAGTCTAGGCTGATTCCTCAGAAAGCAGCCAGCTCTCTCCCTCACTCTGGATTTGCACTCTCTAGGAGGGCAACTGGATTACAAAGCTAAGCAACCCAGAGGCAACACTGGGTCAAGTGAAAAACTTGCCTCTTGAAACTGTGATCACATATAGACTAGTATCCCCAAACACGAAGGCTGACTTGAGCTTGAGACCTTTACACAGATGCTTTCAAAGACTCCAGCAATTTCCTTTTTCTGAAGGCTCAACTACAGCAGAGTGTAGCTCTAAATGCTGCCCTTAGACAGGAGGTAGTCCCAGAAGCAGAGATTTCAGTGTGTGTGTTCTGTCCCAGATTTACAGACTCTAAAAAAAGTAAATCACTGTGTCAGCACTGACTGATTTTTATAGCGCTTTTGCTGCTGTACTTTCTAACAATCTTACCAAGGTATATACTGCTCCTGTAAGAGGCATGAGGCAACGAAAAGAGACCATGTTTACTCCCAAAGTAGCTGCTCTCTATACATCTTATTTGAAATAAAATAAAGTTCACTGCAGATGTTAGAAATTGCCCTGCAAGAGCTGGGAGAGGCTCTTCTGTCATTGCACAAACACAGCACCTACCAATGCTGAGCAAGGCTGGGACAGCATGTGCTGGTGGCTGCTCTAACACACCCACACCCAAGAATACTTTCCTTTCCACAAAACTTGCAGCTGGGACAAACTAATTACTGATAGGAGGGACACAGAGGAATTTTCCTGAGGCAAAGGGACAGAAGAAATAAGGATGAGAAGTTCAATTCCCCGATTGCCAGCCCCTGCCAGCATTTGGCTCACTGCAGTGTGCTCCCTCCTGGTGTCCTTGTCTACCAGCACACCTGTGGGATTTCAGGTGGGAGGCACTTGGGTAGGGATACAGTACGGAGATACTGGGAGGTGGTGGTGGAGACAGGGAGCTGAGGAAATCTGGGAAGGAAGAGCCTGTGCCCAGCGGCGCGCTGCTCCTCTTGCAAGCAAGCAGGCTGGGATGCATTGTCCCCTCTCCTGCTCTTCCTTCCCCTCCCAGTCCCAGGGAAGTCACTGCAGTCTCAATAACCGTGCAGCAAAAAGAGCATGATTCAGCTGCAAAGAGTTTGAGCTTATTCCTCCTAGGAGGTGGGGTGAAAAAAAGAAGTCACACATTATGGATGGGCAGTGTAATGTCTTGTGACATCCATGCTCAATCTTCCCCTCGGCACGGAGCTGAGTCCCAGGCTCCCAGGCTCACATGAAACTGAAGAGGGAAACAATGAGCCTCCTCTTTCTCCTCTTCTCCAGATCGCACTGATGCAAAGTGAACAAAGCACGGCAGTGAGGGGTGATAGCTGGGGAATCTGTGCTCCCGGTGGTAGATCAGGCTCACAAGCACCTGCCTGATAGAGGAAACAGGCACCATCTGCTCTTCTGTTGCCATTTACTTAAGGGCTGAGGGGACTTCACAAAATCCAATGCAATGTGTTAAATAACCAGTTTTAGCAGGCGCTGGGTTTCCCCGGTGGAGTTACAGCGTGGCACTGCAGGTTTACTAGAAGCACTCCAATTCTTGCTGGCAGCCAGCATCTGCTGTCTGATTAAGATTTGCAGGAGTGGGTCTCCAGTGGCCAGTTTCAACACGGATTTAACTTCACCGAGGTCAAAGGTATAACTTGAGGGAGGAACTTTCTCATGCAAGATCTTTATTTAATAGCAGCCTGCTAATTATGACTGAGTGCTGGGCTCCCGGCGAGTCCCCTGCCAGCCCTCAGACATTAACCGTTGGCTCGGGGGCCATTTGCCTTGGATGTCCTAGCAGAGATGGTGCTTTGTGCCTAAGCTCCTCTGCTGCTGCTGCCTGAATTGCCTGAATGTCTTTTGCATAGAGAGGCTGTGAGAACTGCTACTACCGAGGGAGAGATCTTCATCTTTTCTATTGTTTAGTCTTTTGTCTGGTGACACTTGCGGCTGCAGTAACCAC